CTAAACCCTAGTTTTGAAAGAACAGCAAATTACTATAAATTAGAAGTTGGATAATGATTTTCAAAGCACCTTAGTCATAATCAAAATTTATCTGTTCTTGAAGCTGGTCTCAACTACTCATAGCTCTCGATTGGTAAACGAATGACCAAATCAAATAAATTAAACCCTCCTATTCTGTTTTGATGAAAACAAAAATTAAAACAAGTAATGTAATTTTCCCCCATTAACAGCCATTTCTTTTTAATATGTAAATATATTATTTTTTCCCCCTGGGTGGTAGCTGGTTGAGTTAGAAAAAAAGGAAAAAGAAGAAATCACATGAGAGAATATCTTGAAGAAAAAATAACTATTGGACATTGGAGAATGCGGATTTTTCTCATTATGAAATTAAACTTTTAGTACGTAAAGATACTATGCAATATGACTTGAAAAGTTTTCTACTTTTTTGTCTATCCAATCCCTTACTATGTGTTGGAGGTAACACCATTTCTTTAATGAGAAGAGTGTCAAAGTTTAAAATCCCATAAATTTAATAATACCTACTTAGTGCCTACTATCTACATAGTGTAGCCCTTGATTGGTTGGAAGCCCACTATCAAATTTGGAAACCCAAGGTGAAACCTATGGGTTTGAACTGTTTTTGGTCCAATAAATGTAATTGGTGACTCGTTATTATTATTATTATTAAGTTAGGAATTAAATAAGTATTGATTTAGTTTCCAAATACTAATAGGATTCGTTTTTCTAATTCATTTTCGGATTTTGGTCTATGTTTAGTAGTCTTTTGACATTGTATTATTTAGTTTTCGAGTTATATTATTGAGAATTTTTTTAAGTTAAAAAGGGATGCACATCATTTTGTCTTTGCTAAAAAGAAATTTTAAACAAATTTATGGAGTGGACCACAGAGGGATAATTGTTTGAGTTCTTTGAAGATCCATGATATTGCTTAGTATTTTGGATTAAAATGCAGAATTTTTTTTATTGGTGTAGGGCTACTTAGATCTTGAATATTTCATAGCCCAGTAGTTGATTAAGAAGAGTGGCGTTTATGGCTTTAGAGTGCTAATGATTGAGCTAATAACTACGAAATAGCCGATCAAGCACTACAAGAAAACTGGGTATATGAGACGGAACTATTTGCGACGGCACACTTGCCGTCTCAAAAAGTCACTTTTTGTGACGGCAAAAAATGCCGTCTAAAAAAAGCAGAGTATTTGCGACGACACCATTTGCCGTCTCAAAAAAGCAGAGCATTTGCGATGACACTATTTGCCGTCTCAAAAAATGGGAGTATTTGCGATGGTATTTTCTGCCGTCGCAAATACTCTCATTTTTTGAGACGGCAAATAGTGCCGTCGCAAATGCTCTGCTTTTTTGAGACGGCAAATGGTGCCGTCGCAAATACTCTGCTTTTCTGAGACGGCATTTTCTGCCGTCACAAAAAGTGGCTTTCGTGTTTTTTTTTTTAGTGAATATTTTTAAAATTTTAAATATTTTTTTTAGATGTACCTTACTTAGATGTATCTAAAAAATAAAAAAATTATGAAAAAATATTTTTAAAAATTAATAAATACATAAAAATACCAAAAAAAAATGTATTGAATTATGGTATTTTTTTTGTATTTTTGGTATTTAGTGAATTTTTAAAAGATTTTGGTGATTATGGTTTTGAGATAGCTTCATATATATACAGTCACAAAATGGTTTGAATAACAATGTCGTCTTACTCTTTGATATAACAATGTCGTCTTACTCTTTGATATAACGTTTCTCTTTCCATTCATTTTTTCATCTTCCAGTCTCTCTGTCTCTATCTCTCTCTCTTCTCTTTATCTCTTTTCATTCATTTCTTTCTATCTCTATCTCTCTCTCTTTCTATGTCTGCCTGTTTCTCTCTCTCATTCAAATAGGCAGATGATATGAGCTTTCAATGCATATATTGATCCTCTAGCTAATACATACTAAACTTTAAAATCAAATAAATAAAAAAAAAAAGAGTATTTGTCAAAAAAAAAAAGAGAGAATTTTCTGAGTAATTGTAGCTTAACGATATTAGTTTGACGTAAGCAACTCATTCAATGTTTCTAAATCACCTAAGTGTTGAATTATCTAGTCCATTAGGATGAATTTGACTTGCTCATCTCTTTTCGCTCCTATTTCTCTCTTTTTTTGTCTATCTCTCGCTCATCTCTTGTTTCTCTCTCTTTTTCTATCTTTCCATCTCTCTCTCTCTTTCTTTCTCTCTCTATCTCTTTTTCTGTCTATCTCTCTCTCCCTGTCTCTCTCTCACTCATCACTCTTCTTTCTCTCTGTGTCTATTTGTCTATTTCTCCCTCACTATGTTCGCCTTGCTCACTCTCTTACTCCTATCTTCTCTATTTATCGAGCTCCTTCTCGATTTATCGATCCACTATAAGAAAATACACTTTTAGCAACCACTTTGTCTATCTCTCTCTCTCTCGCTCATCACTCTATCTCTGTGTGTCTCTCTCTCTCTATCTCTCTTCTTTATATGTCTCTCACAAAATTAAAATATTTTTAAAATATTTAAATATTTAAAATATTTAAAAAATTGATTTGAATTAAGTTTTGAACAGAGTTTTGAATTATCTGTCTTCGTTATTTATTGAGCTCCCTATCGATTTATCGATCCACTACAAGAAAATGCACTTTTAGCGACCACTTTGTCTCTTTCTCGCTCATCACTCTGTCTCTCTATCTCTTTTCTCTATTCGTCGTCTCACTCATCTTTCTCTCTCACTACCCATCTTCTCTACCACATTTACCACTACTGCAAATGCCATTCAACTACCACCACTCTTCTCTTTCTCTCTTTCACTCATCACTCTTATTTCTCTGTCTGTTTGTCTATCTATCTGTTTGTCTGTGTGTCTTTCGTCCATCTTTCTTCTCCCTATCTCTCTCATTTGTCTTCTCTCTATGTCTCCCTCGCTCATCTCTCTTCTCTCTATCTCTCTCATCTCTTTTCTCTCTCTGTCTCTCTCGCTCATCTCTCTTCTCTCTATCTCTCTATTTTTCTATTCTCTCTATCGTTCATCTCTTTTCGCTCTCTTTCTATGTGTCTCTCTCATCTCTTGTTTATTTCTATTTTTCTATATGTCTCTCTCTATTTCTATTTCTCTCTTTATCTCTCTCTCGCTCTTCACTCTGTCTTTCTCTCTCCTCTATCTGTCTCTCACTCATTTCTCTCTCTCACCACCTATCTCATTTACCACATTCACCACTACTGCAAACACCATTCCACTACCACCATTACTTTTACTGTAGCCACTTCACCTCTACCACTACCATTACTACTACTACCGCCACCACTCCACTACCACCACTACTACTACTGCTACTACTATTACCATTACCTCTCTTTCCCCCCTGCCACTCCATTTACACTACCACTACCACAACTTCACCACTAATCTCTTTCGCCAAACCTTATTAGTACACCACAAACAAGAAAAATTTCAAATGAAGATAAGATATGAAAAATTATAATTAACATGGTTAACACCGGTTGTTTAGGGTGAGCCCTGGTTTTGAGAATTCTCACGTAAATTGTGTTGCGAAACTCTAAGATGGCACGGGACTTATTTGACCCCTTTTCGGTATTCGGTTTTGGAATAAGGGTGGATGTGCAGGTGGCACACAGGGAGGTTGCTTACCCCTGGCAGACCGTTTCCTTGGGGCAGACCACGGATGCCACTACTTGGGTATATAACTCCGGACGTGGGCATCCCTGGTAGTTACGGTTGGTAACACTTAAATATTTGACTAAGGGAGGGTTTCAAATTAACCGTTGCCATGCTTAGTGTTTGGTGAGTTAAATCTCTTTGGTGAGATTTCGAGTGTCACCTAATTTATTAAAATTACTGAAACTATTCTAATGGTTGTAATTTCTGTGTATAATTATATTGTTATCTCATGTTTAGAATATTATTATTTGTCTCTTAAAAAGAATGGTAGGTTGGTTACGTTTTCTTACTGTGTTGCAAAACTCATGGCATATATTTTGTTGACTTGGCGTTTCATGCCAGATTATGTTGAAGAAGGGACTGAGGCTGAAATTGGAGCTGCTGCCAATATCGAACCTTGGCTGACTTAGAGTCAAGATTTTGTCAGAATAAAATCCTGTTATCCCTTGTATTAGGATTAAACTATGTTGTGACGTTGTGTGTGAACTTGTAGTTTTATTTTGTTGTTGGACTTTGACCATGTAAGAACTTAAAAGTTCCTAATTAGTAGTTAAAGCTTTATTTAGCGAGTTATCGTTTTTTAAATCTTATGACGTTTTAAAAAAAAATTTGAGGCGTCACAGTTTGCGAACTATTCAATTCATTTACAATCTTAGTTATTGTAAAAAATAATGATATGAGCAAAATAAAACCTGAGATACAATTACTCTTTTTCTTTTTGTTTTTGTTTTTTTGTTGGCCATTTGCAATTACTATGATCTGTTTGGTAATTATTTTGTTTTCAGTTTTCAGTTTATATTTATAAAAATTTTAAAAATTATCATAAAAACTTATTTGATAATTTTTTTTTTTGTTTATAAATGGTTGTCTCAATTTGTAAAATTGAGGAAAAAATGTAAATTCGAAAAATGAGTTTACGTTGATTTTTAAATAGAAATTTAAAAATTTGACTAACAAAATTTTTTTTCAAATAATTTTTTTTCCAATGAACTTTTTTTCCAACTAATACTAATCAATGGGGCAATTGGTAATGCTACTTTAAATCTTAGGAAGGGGATTATAATTTCTAAAATGTGAGAAGGTATCAATATAATTTACCTAGTGAGGACAAAATTGATATTTAAAAAAATTAAATTATTGAGGGGAATCTGTAATAAAACTTTAAACATCAAGAAGGAGATGTAATTTTCAAAATATGAGGAAAGAAGTATAATAAATATAAACTTAGGGGTGTCAGTGTAATTTACCCATATTTTTTCTTCCTACTCATTTTTTAAAATTTAACTGTTTCTCTGTCCCTTTCCTGTTCCATTATTTTTTTCTTTCTTCTTCTCGCTCTTATGTCGTGTATGGATATGGCTGATATTTTATTTCAGAAATCTCAGTGCGAAAATGTCATCTCCGTCGTCTCAGGATTCCCCACCGCTTCCTACCCTCCCTCAAAATTGGATCCTCGTGCGTTCCCTCTCCGCACCCTTTCAATCTCTATTTCTCTCTCTTTCTCTCTCTCTCTCTCTATATATATATATATGTTGCGTATATAGACACAAACATGTAAAAACAGCATGCGGTTGTCTTTATATTGTTAATTAGTAAGTATGTATGTGATATGTTGAAGACGAAGATGTTGTTCTGATTGAGTGGAATACGTAATTTAGCAGCTAGGATGCGGTTCTGTGACAGAGGACTTCTTGGCAGCTGTGGCCGCTTTTCCCAATCCAGATGACAAGATTAGAAGCACAAGCTTTCAGGTAACAACTCTCTTTGCTTCATTTTTGGGGAATTCTCTCTGTTGTATATTATTGTTCGCTTCTCTTCTCAATTTACCACCATCAAGATTGCTTTCTTTTGTTAGGGCTACAAGGGATTTGGTGTAGCATTTTTTCTTTTTAATATCAGCTGGTTCGCATCCCTAATTAAAGGGTAAATTACCCTTTATTCCATAGTTTCAATTTCAACAATTTGAACTCTACAATTTCATTTTTTGTTACGTTGTTAGTATTTTGAATGATAAAAGACCATGTGAGAAACTAGAGGACCAAAAGTGTAATTCAAAACAAATTATAGAGACCACCTGTGTAATAAATAAATTACACGATCTCTATAGTTTTATTTATTTATTTATAAATTTAACTTTGGTCCCTTTATTTTTGCACATGATTTTTTTAATATTCAAAATGTTAATGATACATGACGGAGGAGCCACATTGTAACAAAATTGAAAGTGCAGGCGTTTAAATTGAAACTACGAGGCCAAAGTAATACTTCGCTCAAACTAGAGGGACCAATGGTGTAATTTACCCCTAAATAAATACTTGGCACCTCATTGTTATTTTCTTCAATATAGTTGTACTTCTAAAGAAAAAAAAGAAAAAAAAGTCATAACCTGCATTTTGGTTAAGAGGATATACTCTGTATGACCAGATTGCCAATTGAGGACGCCCAGTTTGGTGTGCTTAATGGTGTCCATACGGTTATTATTATTATTAAATTTATATTTGATAACATGCCTCGTGTGTTTGGTACATATTCTGTTCACAGAGTCACAGTTTATGTGTAAAAAATGAATTAAGTAAGCTACAATACTTTCATAGCTAATGCTTTGAGAGTAATGCAACAAAGGGAGCCTAAATATTTTTCTCCTTTTCTATGGAAAGTTAGTGTCAGTTTTGATTCAGTTGACTTATTCATTTATGAAGACAGTTGATCATTTACTGGTTTGAAGGGGAATTAATTATCTTAATGAACTACCTACCTAATCTTGGTGCTAGTATTATTTACAGACTATGGTTGTGATAAAATGATACGATTGATTTATAGCTTTAAAAGGGACTGCAGTTATATTCTGACATTTTTGCTTCACAGATTCAAGGAGGTGGAAACACTGGGAATGCGTTAACATGTGCAGCTCATCTAGGTTTAAAACCAAGGCTAATTTCGAAGGTCTGTCAATCAACCTGCAACTATGGTAAAAATGCAT